TGTTTAAGGAAAACACAGAGATTAAAAATAATAATATTGTATAACAGTAGGATGTACTTTAATAGAAATGGCATCAGAAATAACCTTCATACTAAAATAATTTTTTTAAAAAACCAGTAAGACATTTTAATAAAAAATGTGGCAGAGAAACTACATGTACATCATGCTGAAAATAAAATAACTATTGTTGTTAATGACAACTTCATATTTTCCAAATTTGAAAACAGTAATAAATATTTAAGCCACCAAAAATTCCTAAAGCCACCAACCTGTTCCATGTAAATCTATAATATTACAAACCTAGGGATTATGGTTTTATATAAAAATAATTTGGGGCCTTCACCCAAACTGAGTAAGTGCCAACTTGATCAACTGAGTATTTTTTAAACATCTTTATAGGGAAAATAACAAGTAAAGTCAGTGGCCAGGTTTTGTGTACATTCCCATAAAACTGAAGCTTGGTTTCCAAAATGTATGTGTGCCCCATTGTATAGCTGTAATAAAGTCCCAATGCCACGCACAGTCACACCAAGCACAGCCAAGCACAAGGCAGAGCGTACCTGTGGACGGCTTTCGACACCTGTCTCTGCACAGCCGTACTGCGGCCCTGCAGCGCGTAGATGGCCGAGGTCAGCAGGCTCCGTGGATAGTCGCTGTCCTTGTGTCTGCTGCGCTTCAGCAGCTCGTTCAGGGCTGCTTTGGCCAGCGTGGCATCCTGCATTGCCAACCCTAGAGCACAGAGGGTTTGAAGGCTTTCTGTGGTTGGCTCCTTTAAGATAGAGCTGCAAATATATTTTTTAATTGCCTGTTGGCCATCTGTACAGTAAGTCTCTGTCTATAATTATTACAAATTTCTAGGCTTTTAAAGATAGCAAGTTTTCTGATTGAAGCAAAGTGCCAATGGTCTTTCATCAGGGGCTGGGGAGATAGCTCAGTTGAGTAAGGGCTTGACTGGCAAGTGCAAGAGTCTGAGTTCTATACCCAGCTCCGCCACAAAAAAAAGGTCTCTCATCAGCAACAACAGCTCACTTTTTTTCTGGTCATGACACTTATATTTTAGAAACAAATACAAATCAACCTCTCTGGGTCTTAGCTGTAGATAAATAATTATAATAGTTTTGGTAAAATGTTCAGTCTCAATAAAATCCTAGAAGGTATAAGTAATAAAAAAAAAAAAAAAAAAAAAAAATCTGGGGCCAGCAAAATAACCCAGCGGATTAAAGCTCCTGCAAGGAGGTGGGGTAAAGGGGTGTTTAATCCCTGTGCCTGCCCTGCTGGCCCTGCCCCCAGGGTACGCCGAGTTCAATTGAGCTTGGCCGTGGTGGCGCACCAGTAATCCCAGCTCTTATAAGTCTGATCTAGTAGTGAGACCCTAAACACCCTGTAGACCTTTCCCTAAAATACAAAAAAATACATTTAAAAAAAAATCTGTTCAACATATGAGCTGATTTTTATCATTCTGATAAAAGCTTTGTCCTATTTGCCCTATGGTATTGAAACCAGCATTTTCTATAGGAAGCACAAGGTGTACCTATACCCACTGTGCTCCAAGTGAATACTGATAATTTAAGGAAAATTTGCATATAAACAATTAGTATCTTTTCTCTCTTTTACGTGTAAAATCTGATTTTGCCTCAGCTAGAAAAGTTAATAACATTTAGGAACGCTTCTTAATTTAAATGAAGAGCCTAGCACAGTGTTACACCTACAATCACAGCTCTTGGGAGGCTGAGACAGGAGGATCACTTTGAATTCAGATTTAGCCTGGGCTACACAGTGAACTTAAGGGGAGCCTGAACTACACAGCAAGACCCTGTCTCAAAAATAAGTAAATAAATAAATAAATAATTTAAATGAAAAACCTTCATTTCTCTACAAACGTAATACAACAAAAATATTTATCATACTACAAAATATTACATACTCATTAATAAGTGTTTGGAAGGGGAAAATTAAATGTTTTACACACATGAATTAATAGTAAATCTGTAGTAAATAGCTAACTTACAGTATGACTACAAAGACAAGGTCTATTGGTGTAATATTTTTAAAGATTTCACTTTTTTTTCGCCTGCGTCTCGGGCGCCCTGAAACAGGTCTGCTGCCTGCCCCCTCAGGCCTCCGAGAACTGCTCTACCCCTCGGTTTCGGCTGCCAGGAGCAGAAGAGATCCAGGCGGGCAAAGGTTGAGGGGGCAAGATTCGCCTTTACATGAACTTTCTCTCAGGTTAACTTGAAAAAGGACAGGAAGAAAGTAATTTCTTTGGGACTCAACACGGCAAAAAAAGAAGCCAGTTACAATTTGCTTTAAGTTAAAGACCAAGAGATCCACTACTCTTAAAAATACGTATACAGTACAAAGGATGGTTCTGAAGGGCTGGACAGACCTAGAGCTAAGAATGAGGCTGCGCGCTCCCACTGCCTCTCTGTTAATTCAGAGCCAGGTAACCTCAAGTCCCTTTTGTTCACCCCAAAGCTCCTAAAACATTAAGGACTTCATTTCATCTTGCTTAACTCAAACTGTAAGTCTAGTCTTGCTAAGAGCGGACGTCAATACACATACCATTTGAAGAGCAGGGACTTGGCTGCATCCATTTTTCCTTGTTTATATTCTGTTATTGCCAGAGCGGTTAAGATATGGGCTTTGTCTTCCTCTGATTCAACAATAGACAAGGCTCTCTCATACGCTATTGTATCACAATGGGAAAAACATAAAAGCAATTGTGAATAGCACAGTATGGAACTTTTACTATCCAAAACCTATTTTTCCAAAAGATACAACTAAAACATTGTTGTTCACTTGTGTCTATGAAGACACAATACAAAATTTATAACCAGCTACCTTGGTTCAGCTATTCCAAGGTGACTCTGGGGTGTCACTAAGAGTACTGTGCAACAATCCCCCTCCGACCTCCAGATCCTACAGGGAGGTCTGCATCACTATCTTTCAGAGCCACGTAAGACAGTAGTCGAGGCTTGCCCGCACGGAGCTCACCCAGGCTCCCAGACCAGGGACTCGGCAATCTGATGAGACCTAAACAACCTGCGCACACACAGGCAGAGCCTACATACTGTGTACTTAAGTCTAGTCAGTAGAAAAAACCAAAATGTTCTTTTATCAATGATTTCTGAGCTCTTCATTTATCAGCAAGTTTGACTTAAGCAGCATAGAGTATAGAAAGCGCCTGCTCTCAAACGCTAACTCATACAGATGTCATAAGTGAGCTAAAGCTTCCTCACCTCTACAATAAATGCTCACCTGTATAACTCTGTAAAGACTCTGGGAACTATCTATTATCATAATGTAACAAATGAAGTAAGATACAAACAATTATCTATTGTGGCTCCCGACTCCTGCTCACATCTTACTAAGCCTTGCCACCCTCACCCCCTCTCCATATCACATCTTTTTGTGTGTGGCCTTGCCATAATGAACTGCCACCCAACTCTGGAAGAGATGTGTCCTTAGCTCCAAGCAATATCCTTACCTTTGCTGCTCTCTGTGTACTGCCCCTTCATAAACAAAGCCAATGCGAAGCCTACGATGTCTTCTAACTCTTCAAGGGGTGTGGACTTAAAAGCCTGGACAGCTTCATCATATTCACCAATGGAACTAAGAGCAAAATACGACTTACTTTTAATGCCGTAAATACTTTTGGCTTACATAATCAAAATATAGATATACAGACACAGAGACTCTTTTAATAACTTCATCCGTACTTCCTTCTCCATGGAGGCATTTCAGCAAGCTATAATCTACCAGCATTAACACTGTAGAAAAGACTTAAAATAGGAGGCAGGCCGTGAATTGAGGATTTAACGTCACACCTTGCTTCTGTCAAATTACATGTGAAATTGACTGATTTTTTTAAATTACAGGGTTTTTAAAGATTGTTAAACTTTAATTAACAATCTAAGTCAAGAATAACTTTTATTTCTGCACAGAACTCCCACTTTTAAGCTTAGTACATAAAATATTATTCTGAGTATAATTCTAGCATCTTCTTAGAACCTTAGAAGGTAATAAACTACATAAAGTCAAACCTAGCCTCTGTGTGAGCTATCTGACATGAAGGGTACCCCACACACAAGACTCCACATGCAAAACTACACGTCTTGTTTGTGCTGAATAGGAGAAAATGGAAAAGTAATATATGACACTAATAACAGCAGAATAATGAAATTACACTTATTTAAGGAAAGTTATGTAAGCTCAGCTGCTATCATCTCAATAGAAGCAGCACATCTCTGAGATTCTTGTTTCTGGTATTCACTGCATAATTGAAAATTTTTTAAAAATGGTATTGGCAATGTTTTATACAATGTTTTTAATTTTTAAGGACATTAAATAGAAGCTCAAAACCACAACATGCTTCTAATAATTTTACGAAGGCAAATAACTTTTTTTTTTTTTTTTTTTTTTTGGCAGAACTGGGGATTAAACTCAGGCCCTTGTGCTTGCCAGGGAAGCGCTTATTCCACTGAGCCATCTCCCTGGCCCCTATAGAGTGAATTCTTTTTTTTTTTTTTGAAGGCAAATAACTTTATAAATCAATATAATCAAATTTTGAAACTTTGATAAAGGAAACAGGACTACCTAAAATAATTTTTGTAGAGGAAAAAAATGGAACTATAGAAGGGTAGGATACAGCTTCAATTTTACCCATAACTTCTTTGTGGGAAAAAAATAATCTGAAGCAAACTGATAGAATTTTAAGAATACTACTGACTAATAACATTCATTAATTTATTTCTATTCTCTTCCTGCTGCTTGTCTAATATAGTTCAGAGATTTTTTTTTTTTTTCAGAACCAGGGATTGAACTCAGGCCCTTGTGCTTGCCAGGGAAGCACCTACTCCACTGAGCCATCTCCCAACCTTAATATATTTCATATAATAAAACAAATTAGAAAACAGATAACTTGCTTTTAATGGAAGATAATCATTTTTCTTCTAAAATATTACATTAAATATTGATGCTAAAAAGAACAGATATTTTATCCTGCCCAGTTCCTTACAATATCTATCCTGTGCTTTAACAAAAGCTTGGAACGAACAGAGCACCACAAACTCTTAAATTTCAACAGTTTGAAAGAATTACAAGGAGAGGTGAGAACAGTAAAAATTTTCTGCCTTAAGTTCATGATTCATTTATAAAAGTTATAGAATAAGTGCCTACCACGTGCCTGTTACTGTCGTTCCTTAGAAGTCGCAGGCACTAATCCCAAACCATCGAACTATATTTAAAAACGAGCTTCAAACTAGACCCTGATCCGGGGCAGCAGCACCCCTGAGGCACGCCTCCTCAGCTAGCGTCAGAGGCCTTCCCTCCATGACACACTTCTGTTCTCTGAACTTAGCTCTATGTCCTTAGTCTCCTGGCTTTTAGTCCCTTCCTTTTTTAACTGTATGGTTTTGCAGTCAAAAGTCCGTGAGAGTCTGAGGGAAGATGCAGACCTCCCTCTCCACCCCCCAAATTTTGTGAACTATTCAAAGGAGTTATTGGGGCCCAACATTCACCCTCAGTTTGTCAGAACAAGCATATAAGAAACCTGATTGCTCTTCCAGCTAACTAGGTTTCTACTACTGGAAAAGCAACTACTTCTCTTCCAAGTGTTACCTCGTCGGGCCCACAGACCACGAGCCCTCATTCTACCCTACAAGGCTCGCTGCTGCGAGGTGCTGGGTAGGCGCGGGAGGGTACTAACACAGCGTGGTATCACTGTAGGTGAGGAAGCTAGTAACAGGATGGTACCGTGGGAAGAGTGCTCCCCACAGGCCCACGCCACCAATAGCACTCAGCATTCTCTCCAGTCCCACAGCTTTCCAGAAAAATCCTACAGTCATAGAATTTCTAAGAAAAAACACGCTTACCACAACAATCTGCCATAGTTTCTCATGGTAACATTGTAAGTGGCGGGGTCCTCCGCAGGCTGTAACAACAAAATTGCCCTTAACGAAAGGACAAGGTATTTTAAATTATCTATGTGTGAGAGCAATTGCTTCCCCCTTCCCTCTTCAGCTCAATCATGAACTTCTGCTTTCTTCATTTAAATCTACTCATTCTTTTATGCAAGTTATAACAGCTTATTCATATATCATAAAAACAAATGCAGATTTTCAATTTTAGGAAGATAACTTGAATAAAATAACCCTCTTTGTTCTTACGAGAAATAATTCATCACATTTGAGTTCTAAATATTCTAAAATTTTTCATCTGAAAGTGGGAAATGACTGTGTCATGGAATTAATTTTGATGTATTTGAGTTCATCGATGACATCCTAAAAATATTTGTGTACTACAGTTTGAGTTCAGAAGACAGAAAACTGAGTGCCTGCATTGTGTCCTTGCCTCTAAACACAGAAAAACGAAAGGGCTGTGACTTTAAGCAAGGAACTGGTCCCAAGAAGCCGCTGGAGGAGCAGAATGAACCAACACCTAAAGGCTCTATTTCCTTCTCATTCCAGTTGTCTATGGGTAAGCAAGGAAATGTCCTTAAACAACCAAAAAGAACTGAATATTTAATAAGATTTTTGGTTTTTATTTTCTGTATAAAGAGGATTTTCCAAGGAGGAATAGCTAAAAAAAGCCTTTATATTACTCTTATGACATGGGGAAAAAAATTGTTAGAAAAGCCTGCCATGCTATAATCTAGCACTCAGGATTACACCTGTAATCCCAGCATTTGAGAGGCTAAGGCAGAAGGATCACCGTGAGTTCAAGGCCAGACTAAACTACACTCAAAAAATAAACAGAAAGAAAGAAAAAAAAAAGGAAAAAAAAAAAAGAAAGAAGAAAATGGAGAAAAACAAAAGCCAAGCCAAGCCTGAAAGTATTTTAGAGATTCAAAGCTATACTTCTGAATGGTGGAATGGTGGTGTACATTTGTTACTCCAGGTACGCAGGAGGTCAAGGCAGGAGCTGTGCGCTCGATGCCAGCCTGGGCCACCTAGCAGGACTGTCTCAAAACAAAAACAGGAGCCAGGGAGATAGTTCAGTAGAATAAGTGCCTGCCTGGCAAGCATAGGGCCCTGAGTTCAATATCTGGTACCGCAAAAAGAAAAACAAAAACAAAAAACCACGCAGCTGCTGGCTGATGGTGCAGCTCAGCGGTAAAGCACTTGCCCAAGGCCCTAGGTCCAATCGCAGTACCACAAAAATAAAAGTTAGACTTCTGGTTAAATTTAGGCCTAATCTGCAGTTTTAAGTCTCAAATATTCATCTGAGGCAGAAAGCAGCAATCAGGGTCAATCAAAACAGAACACTGCAGACCTAAGTGGCTGTGCTGCTGCCATTTGAAGTTTAAGGGAAGTTGCAAAGTCCTGAGTTCAATCCCTGGTACCACAAAAAAAAAAAAAGAGAGAGAGAGAGAGACAGAGAAGTTTAAGGAAAGGTGTTAGATTCACAATATCTGTAATAACCAGTTTCTGCAAAAATGTAGGAAACTCTAAAGCTGCCTAGTTTTCTGTTCAAAAATCTTGCTCACTTGCATTTTATCATATTGATGGTTTGCTTACTGGTGAGTTGACACTGAAGGACACAAGATGGCGACTTGTCAGAAGCACTCTCCCTCCGCAACCCCCTAAAACAGCATCTTGATCTGAGAGCCTCCAGTACCATCTAGTGATTACCCCAGTGAACTACACAGCGGTCCCTAAAAGCACAGGGCAAAGTGTATGGAGACCTGAATCACTCCTGACGAGGCTCCTTCCAAATACTGACTTGGATTTGAGGCACTAAAGTGCCTTACAGGTTAGGCCACCAGGCTAACTTTCCACACGTGATCAACAGTTCTTTTCTTATTTATCTATTAATTTGCAGAGAATGAAATTCGACTAGCTTTCACTCCGTACCCTGGGCAGGCAGGTCCTCCCACGCTAGCACTCCAGATCTCCTGTCCCTTCAGCAGCCCAGGCAAGATATGATGGGGGCACTGGCTGCTGCTCCTCGTCTGCCCCATGACCCCATGACTCAATGGCTGGCGGCTAGAATTCCTCTTCAGGAAGCCCAAGCCTGTTCAGCTCAGCCCTGTGCGCTCCGGCCCTGGGCCGCCCTTAGCCTTTCCTAGCAAGGATTATGGGCACAGATGGCTTTCAGCTTGTGACTACCCCTATCACCAGAACATGGGCTCACAAGAAATGGGTTTCTGCTTAATTCACTGCTGAATTACTAGGGCCAAGAACACCATCTGGCACGTGGTTGCATAAGAAATATTTACTGAAGTGAATATAGTAGATATGAAAAGGATTCAAACAAATACATCATCATTTCTTATTTGAAAAATGTGTTTGCTCAGCAATAGAAATCAAAACAGCTGAAACGTTGGGACACCCTCTAACGCAGACCAGTCCTACACAATGCAGATCGGGAAAGGAGTCAGCGCACTGAGCACTTTCTTCCAGGGAACGAAACAAATGTGGCTTACCTTTGGTAAGCATCTGCCGCTTGCTTTTTCAGTTGCAGATGTTCATTCAAGTAACCCAACATCGTAAAAGCAGGAGCATAATTCTGAATTCTTTCTGGAAATCCAGAAATACCTTTATTTTATATGTGCTTACTGATCTGGTCACAAAAATATTAGTTTTCATTTTCATTTTTTTGGAAAATTTTCTTAAAAACCAGTAAATTAAAAATTAGATTACCTACCGAGATCACTCATTTTAAGTGCTCTTATTTTATTTTGAATGTACCAGTAATCATGTTATAACTCACTTTACTTACTGAATAATATTTAATAGTTTTAATATGGCTTCCAGTCATCATTTGGAGTTCAAAAACTTTTATCTCTAAAGTACAATACATTTGAAATCGTAATTCATGTTAAAATTAGTCATTAGGGCTGGCAAGATAGCTCAGCAGACTAAGCGCCTGCTTAGGCAAGCACAGGTACCAGGGTTTGATCCCTGCCCTACCCCTGGGTGTGCTGAGCCGGCCACTGAGACCAGGTGTAGTGGCGCACACCTGTAATCCAAGCTTTGGGGAGGCTGAAAACAGGAGGATCACTATGAGTACAAGCTACACAGTGAGAACTTGTAACAAAAACATTTAAAAATTTTTAAAAATAAAAAAATTATTCATCACATTTATAAGAAAATTCAGTTTTTTGGCTAACTGCTTAAGCCTTCCTGTGATTATATTTATTAATAATTTCTCTTGGTGGTTTGCTGAAATCCATGTGTCTTTAAAAAAATAATAATTTAGTAGTATACATTAGAAACAGAAGATAGGAGCCGGGGAGATGGCTCAGTGGAATAAATGCTTCCCTGGCAAGTGCAAGGGTCTGAGTTCAATTCCTGGTTCTGCCAAAAAAAAAAGAAACAGAAGATAACGTGGGGATTTCCAATGCAGCATTTTGAAATTTTAACACCTAAACATAATGTGTCTACTAACACATGCTGGAGAAAGAGAAACATGTCTCATGTAGTCTGAACCCTCAACTGTGCAATGAAGTACAGTGGAGTCATATATCACGTGATAGTTAGGCTCCCATGCCTAAGTGTATGGGTAAAATCACTACAGTCAAAGTTATTCTTGGGAAATCCCAACAGTTGCCACACACAAGAGGGTCACAAAGCTGCATCCTTGGGAGTGTGAGGAGGCCCATGCCTCCACATGCCAGGATACTCTAACCCAGCTGGACAAAGGAAGGCCTGTGCTCTCTTTCCTCAACCTCTCTCTTTCCTGCTTCTACTTTTCATACGTATGTATATTTTTCCAGTCAGCCACACAGAGCTGACATCAACCGATGCTACAGTTTAAAAACTCAGCTGTGCATACTTGTTATAAAAGATGTATCTATTTTTATAACTATCTAAAAGTTTGCTGAAAACTAAAGATTTACTTCTTTAAAGTAAATCCTTCACAAAAGCTATTCATTTGGTAGGAAAAAACATTCCCTCAGCTCTAGGTATTTATTAGCATTATTAACCACGCATAATATGGAAATATCTCAAAACTCCTTGTTTGTGAACAAATTACTTTCTTTTCCACAAATGTTCCAGACTAAAGTCATGTTTTAGAGAATATCAATTTTAATTTGGAATGAATTAATTTTAAATTTTTCCAAGTGATGTCAATAGTCACGCAGAACTCCTGCTGTCACGTGACAGGCACCTTACCCACGTATTTGCACAGAGCCACCTGTGCTGCAGGGATGGCGTTCATCTGGAGGATGTTGTACTGGTACAGCTCTGTTTCTCTGTTGCTTTTGTCTTGCAACGTTGTGCAGACCCAGTGTGCATAACCTATTGCTCCCTCAGTCTACAAAAAAACAAAGTTGATGAGTGCATACCAGTAAAAATTAAGAAACACAACAGTGGATTTCAATACAATAAATATCATCCGTTAGTCTTAAGTCATCTGCTAAGTGTCTTGCAATGCAAAGTCTTCACAGAGAAGCCTGGCTAGGCTTATCTCACTTTATCAAAGACCCACACAGAAGAGTCCATGAGGATAAAGAGCAGAAACAGACTCACCAATGGGTTGCTTTTTCGCTTCTTGGCATCTTTCTCATAAGTCAAACCAGGCTAATGAATTCTAAAGCATTTTCATAAATAGTCTAAAATGTCAACCAAGAGACCGCCAGATCCTGAAAAGACCCAGAGTGCAGGCTCGGCAAGTGAGTGAGACCGCTTGGGGCCCGCGGGATCCTGAACAGACCCAGAGTGCAGGCCTGGCGTGTGAGGTGAGACAACCCAGCGTGTGAGGTGAGACAACCCAGGGCCCGCAGATCCTGAATAGACCCAAAGCCCAGGCCCGGCATGTGAGAGGACCCAGGAGTGCGGATCCTGAAAAGACCCAGAGCTCAGGCCCGGTGTGTGAGTGAGACTACCCAGGCCACCAGAACCTGAATAGACCCAGAGCACAGGCCCAGTGTGCAACCCTGCAGCAGAACTCCCTGCAAAGAGGCTAGAGGCAAGACCCACCCAGCTTATTCAGGAGCAGAACATCTGCCAGAGTGACACAAAGGGTTAACTCCAATGGCTGCAGCAGGAAAAAGTGGAGCACAGCAGCAAGACCTCAGCCAGATCCAAACAACACCCACCTGGAGGAATCTGAACTTCGTAGATCCAGACCTGGTGCTAAGGTAATAACTCTATCTAAGCTTTACACCAAAGGTCAGAAGACAGTGGTATACAAAATGACAAAGAGAAGGAACAAAATGCAGTCTCAGGCCCCGAGTCCACCCAGTACAATTGCGGAAGACACTAGTATTGAGGAAATTGGAAATCATACCCCAGAAATCTCTGAAATAATAGCATTGGAAGTAAAGAAACAACTGCACAAAGGTATAGAAGAAATCAGATCAGAAATAATTTCTGAACTAAAAAATGTAATGATAATTCTAATCAAAGAAGTACTAAGTGCTTCTAAAGAATACACTGATAAAAAAAAAATAGAGCAGAATATAAAAATGATGGAACCCCTGAATAAGCAATTTAGGAAAGAAATAGAATGTATGAAACAGGTTCAAAGTGATATACAGGAAATTAAAACCTCAATCACATGCTGGCAAAACCATTTGAGGGAAAGTGAAAATAGACTTTCTGACCTTAAAGACACCATTGCAGATAGTGAAAAAGTAAGAAAAGATCTCTTCAAAACAGCTAGGATGCAGGAAAAAATAATTCAATACCTGCATGATGCAGCAAAGATAAACAATGTGAGACTAATAGGCATCAATGAGAAGGAAGGAGTCAATACAAATGATATAAAAAGAATATGGGCAGAAGTAATAGCAGAAAACTTCCCAAATATGGGGCAACAATCTGACATTCAGCTAACCAAAGCATACAGAACTCCAAATAACAACCCAATGAAAACCACTCCCAGACATATAATAATCAAGATCCCAGAAATTCAGCAAAGAAACAGTATACTAAAAAGCCGTTAAAGAAAAGAAACAGATCACATTTAAAGGAAAACCCATCAGAATAATGGCAGATTTCTCTCCACAAACCATCAAGTCAAGAAGAGTATGGAGCAAAGTACTTCAAGTCTTGCAAGAAAACAAATTCCAACCCAGACTGATATACCCTGCAAAACTCGCTTTCAAGTATAATGGAGAAGTGAAATATTTCCATGACAAAGAACAACTAAAGAATTTCATGATGACAAAGCCAAGCCTACACAGACTACTAAATGAGGTTCTAGAGAGGGAGCAAATTGATCACAGCCCCATGAATGAGAATGCAAAGAACCCACCAAATAGGGCAAACAAACACAGGAGAATAAGAGGTATATAATAGTAGTCTTTCTGAAACATTTAATTTTTAATTAATTAGTATTTAATTTTTTGAATACTACTTAATCTTAATTTTTGTTCTAAGATTTATACTATATCTTTGACATACATTTATTTAAAAGACATCATATGATATATTCTCCTAGTATTAGAAACTTTAAAAAGTATATTTCCATTTTCTGTTGACTTAAAAAAAGATTATGAAAAAAAAAATCTTAAAAAAAAAAAAAGAACTGGGGACTGAACTTAGGCCCTTGTGCTTGCCAGAGAAGCACTTATTTTATTGAGCCATCTCCCCAGCCCTGGGACACTTACTTTTTAACCAAAATAACATTGCATTTTTTCCAAACAATTTGTGGTCTTAATTGAGCAAAGTGCTTGTAATAAGCCAAGTTCATCAGAATACTGGTTTTTGAAGAAATCAGAGAAAATCTTTAAATGTCACCTCATCTTCAAAGCATGGATTTTTTCAGTCTATGGCAAAAAGGGCAAGGCCTACCTTGTCAAACTAGTCACTGTTTGACAATCCCCTCTGCCATACTGACCATTCTTAGCTGTATTTAGGACAGGGTCTGCAGGGTCTACAGGGTCTCACTACGCAGATCAGACTCATAGATCAGAATCCTGTGTTCAGCCTCCCAAGTGCTGCGATTACACGCATGCGCCACCACGCGCAGTCTCAACCATCTTCTCAGCACACCCTGCAGGCAGGGCTGGCACAGCTCTCCAGGGATCGAACCCTGGCCACTGCGCTCTGCCTAAGCAGGCACTTTAGTCCTCTGAGCTATCAGGCCGGCCCTTGATTTCTGTACCTGATACATCTGAAGAAGACAGAAGTGAAAGAGTAGGTTCAAGTATACTTGGTGAACAACGTATTTATGGAGTGCAAACCCATTCACAGTTTGGCAATCACTGCCAAATATTCCAAAGAAGTGTGCCAGACCTGCTTCCTGTTTTATACCACTGTATGTTGGAATTGGACTGTCCACCACTAATGCAATTATTCTGTTTACTTAGGTAAGATTGTGAGCTAGACTGATATTCTAAAAATGGAAGGAAAGTTTTGCTTTGGTGAACTGAAAAGTTCAGCTCCTAGTTAATTTAAAAAAAAAACAACAAAACATAATAATGTATGGAGAGGATTATGAGTGTCCCCGGGCAACTTAGCTACTGTTATATATAAGGAAGTTTATTACCTATGGAAAAAAATTTAAAAAAAAATAAAATGTCAACCAAGTCTAGCCCCCATCTCCATTTTCCCTTGGTATCTTAGTTTCTCTCCTACTAAACAACTCCTACATCTGTTAACTTTCAATGTCATTTCTCCACCAGCTTTTGAACATTGGCAAGATAGAATAGGCAGAACTCTTGAAGACACAGATGTAGGCAATAACCTTATGAACAAAACATCAACTGCACAGAAACTACCACAGAGAATCAAAAATTGGATCGCATCCTACTAAAAACCTTTTGTGAAGCAAGAAAACCCACCAGCAGAGTGAAGAGACCATCCACAGTGTGGGAAAAACTTTTTGCCACCTGTTCCTCAGACAAAGGACTATTACCTAGAACATATAAGGAAATCAAAATAATATAATAATAAGATCCCCCAAACTCAAAGATCTAACCCAAAAGTGAAGAAGTGGAAATAGCACACAAATATATGAATAAATGTTCAACACAATGGTCATTTGAGAAATGCAAATGAAAACAACACTGAGATTCCATCTCACTCCAGCAAGGATGTCTAACATCAAGAAATCAACCAATAACAAAAGCCGGCAGGACTATGAGGAAAAAGGAACCCTTCTCCACTGCTGGTGGAGGCACAGAGTAGTACAACCACTGCAGAAATTAGTGTGGAGATTCCGCCAAAAGCTAGGACTAGAAGTTCCATTCAAGCCTGCAATTTTCCTTCTTGGTAGCCTCCCAAAAGAATGAAAAGCATCACACCACAACCCCATACATGAACCATGTCTATAGCAGCACAGTTTATAATAGCTAAATTGTGGAAACAACCTAAATGTCCATCACCTGATGAATGGATAGAGAAGATATGGGCTTTCTTATACAAAGGGGTACTACTCTGCCATAAAGAAGTATAAGCTTGGGACATTTCTAGCTAAATAGATGCCCCTTGAGGCCATGCTCTTAAGTGAAAGAAATTGGACACACACGTGCAAATACCACATTGTTTCTCGGGTGTGAGAACAGAAGGAGTAAGTAAGGCCAAAATGCGTAATCCATGTCATCAAAGAGGAAAAAAATGTTCAGATGGGAAGGAGACCAAGAAGGGGGAGAAGGAAAGGAAAATAAATGATGAGAATAGAAGAAAAAAACAGAAAGGATTCTGTAAATAAGGGAAGAAGGGTTGAAGGAAGTGTAGGGAAATGGGGGAAAGAAAAGACTCAGGTTATATCATGTACAGTTACAAATTCTCTATAATGAATGTGATCGTTATGTATACTTAAAACATACCAATAAACTTAATTAAAAAAATGAAAAAAATTTTTTATGAAAAAATTTACCTGTTTCTAAGAAAAAATAGAATAGAAACAACTACCATCATTAACATCCCCTACACTATTCATCCTTATTAATAAGGATAACACTTTATTAATGAATGCTCAAGAAGAATGTTCAGAGTCTTACGTGCATGCTGAGCTCCGTAGTGTGCCTGAAGAGATCCATAGTGTCGTAACTTCCCACCGTCTCCGCAATGAGCGCCTAGGAAAGGAAAATGGTGCTTAATGTTTAAAAGAAAATAATGATGGTGATAACAAATTCATTTAGAAGAACCAGAGGTTCTTTAGCTGGGCTTAAAACAAAGTTAAGTCTGTTACTACCATTTTAATTAAGCCTATCAGCTACCTCCTAAAAAAAGATTATTTTTAAGAACGAAACTATTTTCAATGTAAAAATATATACTGGTGAGTACCTAAGATCTACCGACCAGTGCAGTGCTACTCAGTGTGGCCCCTGGACCAGCCAGTTTCTACAGCATAATCTGCAGCAGCAGAAATGCAAATTCTTGGTTCTCCAGGGTTCAACAGCAACACGGAGGTTAGCACCATAATGACCCTGCTCCCGGAAGCTACCGCAGTTACTAGGAACACCAGTTGGCCTTCCTACCTCAGCTTGTTCCACCAATTAAGTAGAATTAGACTAAAGAGACAAAATAAAATAAGAAATCCTGGATTAATGATTTTCTGACATGACTGATGTTCCCAGTTCCCTATAAACCAAAACAGTCTACTGCGTACTAATGCATCACAATTTCTCAACTAGGGAAGACCCTGAAGGACACTTGGGCCAAGCACCTGTTTTTCTAGGTGAGAAAATTAAAAATCCAGAGAAAAGATATTAAGGCAAAATAAACAGTGACAGTGTCAGACCAGCAGCCGACTATCTTGCTTCTTATCTGGCCAGACACAAATCTAGACATGGAAAAGGAAAAAACTCAAACGTGCCAAATCAGGTATAAAGGTTTTCAGAAAATAAGGAGACAGTCATCAAAATGATCTTGATAAGTGTATATATTTCATAAATGTGAGTTAAACAGAGCTCCGGGTTTATTTTCTAGGGGCAATAATGCCATACTCATAGTACCCAAAGGTTCTCCACTACTGCCCATGTTACCTTCAGTACAATACACAGGATTTCTAAGCTCTAAGAAGAATACAGCCATGGCCACAGCTCAAAGGCCCAACAATGGACTACATGGAATACTACAACACACACAGAGGCAATGCCTGGCACACAGTGGGTCCTCAAATGCTGCCAGTCATTATTTGTCATTACAGTTATTTATATGACGAGGTTACTTATGTTTATTAGTAACTGTTGTATATCTTACTTGTCCAATCCAGCACATTAAATAAGATGGATCAAGGGACTGAGCCATTTTGAAAGCTTCATGAGCTTGCTAGGAAAAAAGGGCAAGAAAAGAGCACATTGAGTAATTTTATAAAAAATATTCAAAAAACATAACCAAAGGAGAATAAGCAGAGTCAGTCATATCACCACAAACACGTATGACCTAAAACTTCACTGTTTCATTTAAGCACAATTAGTAATGGCTAATGAAAGTTTCTCTACAGATGAAGAGTTCTGGTCCCAGAACAAAAACCATACAGGTTTTGTGCTCCTAACCTGCACAACTTTTAACCAATCATACCTACATTTGCTAGCTACATACTCTGAGGAAACGATAAAGCAAATCTGTATCTATTCCCTTCTCTCTGAGCTCAGCTGAAAAGATAAGCACTCACAACTAATAATTTGAGATGTGGACCTGTTACTAGAGGAAGTGGCCAACAACACAACTCTGCTTCAGGCCATCAAGGAACTGTGAAGACAGTGCACCTGGACAATTACCCTGCAAGCTACAAAAAATTCTGTTGTTACATACAACTTCCTAGTGTTTGGTCAATTTTATCTGTGTGGCAGGAGAGACACTTATTTGGCCTATGAAAAAGGAAGCTCAAGAGCAACAACTGAGCCATGCTATAGTAAAGTTACATTTGCGCTGTATTACCTAAGATGTTTGATATAAAGTTTTAAAAAACACATTCACTTTATTGTGTGTATGTCGCTGAATATTAAACCCAGGGTCTTGTGCCAGACAAGTACATGGTCAGCCACTGTTTCATATATTTTAAAAACCCAGTTAATATTGTCTTTCAATTTATTGACAATCTTCAAAAACCAGTCTTACTTGCAGTGATTTAATGTTCGTATTTCTAAGTTATACAGATGACATTCAAGTGTATTAGCTCAAACACAAAACACTGCAGGTTGTGGTGGTGTTTACAGTTCTGTGAAAACTTCCCAACCTGATCTTATTTAAGTTCCAATTCTCTAATTGCCCAACTACCATAAAATACGTTCTGGTATTTAAAGGGATTCATATTCACTGAGGCCCAAACCTAAATCACACGGGTGAAGGTTAAATTTCAGCTGCTAGATAATACTCATCTCCTGACCTCCACCCACCCCCTCCCCAACACACTGTGAAGGATTTCTCTTACAGGTGAAGGAAAAAAAATACCCAAATAACTCATAATAGCATTATTGTTTAATCTCTAAACACTACAAGTGTATAAAACCAGAAGTCTCTGAACTGTCACAGAAGGGAAAAAATAAAAATCTTGCATACTCATTATGTAACAGAATCAATGGCGTATGATCAGTTAGCTAGCATATTTGATAGTACACTGGGCAGCTAACAATGACCAAAGTTTTTCTCCACAAAAAGCTGAGCTATTACAATGTGATCATACAAAGAAAATGCTGTTTATCTTTAATATGATAAAACTGATATGTTTACCTCAATGTTTTCATTTGCAAGGTATAATACTCCCAAGTTGGTCCATGCAACAGCATTCTGGAAAATAACATATTTTTAAAAATTAGGCCTTTTATATACTTGGAAGCCTCAGAAAATTAGTAATGCTGAATGCTGAAGTTCTTTTTCATACAGACACACAGATACTCACAATTTGTTCGGACTGGATTGATTTGATGAAACAGTGTTGCGCAAGGGCATAATTTCCAATACCTGGAACACAGAATTTGAAGTCACTGTACTTCATTACCTGGAAACAGTAATAAAATTATCAGGCACGCATTAGTCAGTACTCACCACTGTAACATGCAACCACGCCAAGAGCATTCCAGTACAAGTGGTTATTACTGTCCAGCCTCACTGCCTTCTTCAGACACTGAAAGAAAATTAAATGACATTGTTATTTCTTGGAATATCAGCACTTGTATCAAGATAAATAGGAGTTTAAGAGAAAATATTGTTGAACCTATTTTTAAAATATTTCAAAAGAAGCACTTAGTTGGGGCTGAGGAGATAGTTCAGCAGTTTAAGCGCCTGCCTGGCAAGCACAAGAACCCAGGCTGGGTGCACAGTGCCAGCTACTGACACTGGGCATGGCGGCGCAAGCCTGTAATCCCAGCACTGGGGAGGCTGAGACAGGGGGATCACAATGAGTCTTCACTGTGCTGTGAGCCCCAAGTTAATTAATTAATTAATTAATTAAGAAGCACTTAGTTTTAAGTTTATAAAAACTTTTTTAAAACCATACATGCAAAGATTTCTCCAGAAGCTCTTTAAGGTCACTCATGTTGCTGCCTGTTTCTGCTAAGTGTTGTGCTTGGCGATAATAATTAATTCCAAGATCACACCATGTACTGGAGGTAGACATCAGCTTTAATGCACGACCGTAACACCTGAAGAAAAGGCAAAGTGGATGTTACACTTTGTTGCTGTAACGACCTAACTCGGTGGCAAAGTGGTACCCAGCCAGCCTGCTCTGCAGGTTACCTTCCCCCGAGGTGGAGCAGCTCGGTCTTCTGCAGCACGTGTTTCCCTTCTTTCTGGCCTAGAAGCACACCTGGGACACTGACAGTCACTTTGGATGGAGAAACGGCGTGCAGACTGGTGCAAGCGTCCCCAGCCAGCTTCCACAGGCAGGACACATCAGCGCGGTGCTGCAGGGCCCTGCAAGAGCAGACAGCGCGATGCTCACAAGCCACGCCCAGAAGTGCCGCACTGATCTCTCGTACTGTTACTGACAATCCATGCGATCCTAACTAAGCCTGCTTCCTTAATTAAGGGCTATGGATGCTTTGCCAGCTGCTCCTACTGAATTCTATCCTATCACCTCCTTAATAGGGAGATAAGGAAAGAAGGAAGGGTGGGAAGGAGGGAAGAAATATTCTACACCAGCAACTTTGCACTTTTTTAGTACTCTTCACCATTTTTGTTAAAAAATTGCACAGAAATCAGAGCCAGGGATATATAGCCCAACGGCATAAGCACCTGCCAAGCAAGTGCAAGGTCCCTGGTACCGGTAGCAAAGGAAAACAAGACAAAACAAAACAAAAAAGGCAGAAATTAAATAAATAATCAAAAACTTTTCCAGAACCAGTTCACTTTTTTTTTCTGGATTTTAGGGAAGGGTCTAAGGGTGTTCAGGGTCTCACTACTAGATCAGACTCATAATGATCTGCCTGTTTACAGCCTCCCAAGAGCTGGGATTACAGGCGAGCGCCACCATGCCCAGTCTCAATTGCTGTCTCAGTGCGCCCTAGGGGTGAGGCCCACAGGGTAGACCCAAGGATCGAAACCCTGGCCCCTGCACCTGTTTGCAGGCACTTTAATCCGCTGAGCTATTTGGCCGACCCTAGGCAATTCACTTTTAATGGTCTTTTTATTTATTTAAGCAACCAACAAGGCAGTGAAGCTCCTAGTTTATAGTTGACTATTGTAAATGCTGGTTTTTGCTTTTAGACCTTCTTGCAAGTAAAATAATGTATCAAATATATTGGGTAGCCAAAGGGACCTTCGGCTGAGACCAAAAATAAAAATCTACACACATAATGGCCTGCATTTACGGAAGCAAGCAAGGACACACTGAATAGGCAAGCTCAAGAAGTGAACACAAATATTAATTACACAGATAGAGGACATTTGTTTCTAGGAGAGAAATCAGAGTTATACTCTTATCTTCCTTTTTCTCAAATTTTTATAAAACAGCAATTTCATAAGCTAAGCCTCTCTAATCAGTGATTACAGACTGCTACGTCACAGGCAGGTGGACAAGCAGACAAGAGCATTTCTCACAGCTTTTTCTACTCAAGCAGTCCAGTCCAAAACCACTTTCTAACATCTTCCTAAGAAACATCAGTGACTGCACTCATGACTGAAACCCACTGTGAAAGGACAGTACTACTTCAAATTCCTTTAAATATCTTAACAAAGTTTCTAAATTGACAACAATGAAAGGAAAAAACAGAACAAGAAGATAACAGTAAAAAATCCGTCCAAGTTCAATAAACAAAACAGCTCTAAAATAACATACTGTCATCCTCATCTGGAATCAAAAATAAATTTAAAGGTTATAATCTCTGGGTATTTATAGTCTATGCTACATACACCTAATTGGTTGTGCTACGTGTTATCCAGCATAAGACTTCTTGGGCTCGGGAAGGCAGTACTTGTAGCGAAAATATTCTCACGCAAAGCTTCACATGTACTTGTAATACCAGCTTAAACAAAGCACACCCACTTCACAGTAAGTTCCTCTGTGAGAAGACATGTATGTGTGCATTTACCAGTCTCTATCTCTACACGTGCACATGGTAAGAGAGCACTGGGCATTAGAGCAGGGCCTCTACACCAAGCAACACCCACCCTTTTTTATGTTATTTAGATATGATGTGTATTTAAATTTTTAAAAAATCGTAACAGTAACAGGCACATGGCCATTACTTCCCAAGTCCTGGCCTTGTTCCAAACACACCTATCCTCAGAGTGTGTTTCAGAGGCAGAGCCTCTTCGCCACTCCCTGAAGCAGCTCAGGAAGTCGTTTTCCACAAATGCTTCCACTCACATTGGCATGGCAGCCTCAATGTCAGGAATCAATTCAGAGCGTTTACGTTCTGGGGTCATTTTCACTTTGGGCAAGAGGCCAGATCCAGTGAATAAGGACACACTACACGAGTTTTCTTTTTTGGCTGGCTCAGAATGCCTTCAGGGCAGGTTTGGCTGGCTTGAGTTCTGGGGATCGAACCACAGCAACCTGCGCCTGACTTACATGAGCTTTCAAGCCCGGCTCTGCACTGCATGGCACTCTGCAGTCACTCACCCTGCGTCTGATGAGATCCCCTAGAGACCTCCCCAAAAGAGATGAAAAAGGCGTGTTCCAGATTAAGAAGAGAATATTTGGGAGGGACCGATATCACTGCACTTTACCATAAGAAATATTTCTATCTGGAAGGTTAACAACCTAAGTTTGCAGACCAAAATTAGAGAAAAAGGAGGGCCACAAGGAAAGCCACCATTTTGGCCCTAGCCTTCCAAGGTCAATTAAGACTCAGGACACATGAGAACTTGTGTCGGGCGTGGGCGCCCTGCTCCTCAGCCTTGCCCCTTCCGCTAGAGCTTATGCCACGAGCCTTGTTTCCTGTATAGCTTTTGGTCCCTGCTGGTAAGATTTGATTGGTTCACATAGCCCTACGAAGCAGCTGACTATTGGCCTATTGCCCACGTCAGGCGATGTACGTGGCGCCCACTGATAGGTCCCGGGAGGGGATATAAGGAGGGGTTAGAGGAAGTGGAGGAGGGAGAAGAAGAGAGAGGAGGAAGAAGGACACGTGAAAATAAAGGGAACGAAAACGAAGAAGGAGGCTCCGTCTCGTCCTTTTCCAGTGCTGGTCAAACTTGTACTGCAACATCATGTAACTCGGTAGTGTCCCAAATTTTCTGATCAAGGAGATTATGGGGCCAAAGAGGAAAGTGATCAATGATATAGAGTGTGCCTAAGGAGAGTCACATGGAGAGAAAACATTCTCTCAGGCTTTCACAGACAGAAAATTGGCCAAGCAATGGCTGACACTGACAAAGGATCTACAATCTGAGGTACAGGGTCTCAGGATAAATCCTGAGGGGATTTCACTGACCTTATCAGATCCAAAAGCTACAACTCTTGTTAGATAGGTTTTGCTTTATCTTGGTCTTAACCACCCAGAAGAAAAGTATAAAAATGAAGTACAAGAAATAAAGCCATGTTATGTTGAGCTGTAGGGGACTCAGGTCAACAACTTCTGACACTGCCAGTCAAGTGGAAGACCCAGTACTATTATGGACTACTGAACTATTTTGGAATATTCTGCTGAGTTCACACACCTATAATATTTAAATGATGGAACTAAACAAAAAAAGGGGATATAGATGAATGACCATTTTGTATCTGTGTATTCAAAATGGTTAGGATAGATATATACCTACATTCTCTTAATTCAATGAATAGAGGGATTTGTTCTAATAGTGTATATAAATAGGATATCATGGCTGCATCTTGTACAACAAATAACCACTAGGAAGGCAGTATGCAATGTGTTAATTATTGGAACTGTCCTACCAGTTTGATTTTAAACTGTCTCATTGCTATTTGTTTCTCAATAAAATTATGGGGAAAAAAATAAAATGTCAGTGGAAGGTGGAAATCAGAAAAAAAAATAATTTCTCCAGGTCATCTGTATTCCAGTATCTCTGAGGGCCAACTGGTGTCACAGAACCAGAAGCCAGCTGAAGGAAGGAATTTGGGACTGATACCTCACAAAGCTGGGTGCTTCTACTCTACATAAAATAGAGTACAGCAGGGGAAGGAGGGTTGAACACAAAGCACCAAAGGACTAAACAATTACAGCATGCTTGGGATTTTTTTTCATAAAACTAAATTATTGCCCTGTATAAAGGTGTGTATATTTAACATATCTAACTTGCTGTGGTTGGCAGGAAGCAGCTACCTATAAAAACATCAGCACAACCAATGCCATAAACATGCCTATCACCTTAAAAAAAGTCAATTGATAGTTTTGAAATATTTATGGGTTCACAGAAAGCCTCACAGGTAGTAGAGTACTTCCAACTATACTTTACTCGGTTTTCCTAATTGCTGTATCTCTTCTCCAGGGGTTGTATCTTACATAATTACAGTACAATACAATATCAGATCCAAGAGTTTGACACTGTTGCAATGTAAATGAGTGATTCTATGTCACTTTTGTATGTGTATTAAAATCAGGTGGTCTGGAAAAAAAAAAAAAAAAGAAAGATTTCTAGCTTAAACATTCACTATATTTTCTCGTCCTCCCTGAACACGGTGCCGGAGCTACTACTCCACTACAGATGGCTTCTTTTCTATCGTTCCTAGGTCCAGCGCACCAACCACAGCAAAGAGCATAAGAAATTGCACCTTTCTGACAAGTGCAAAATTAACAATGCATGTTACAGAATAATTGATTAGTCTCTGACTAACTATATTTGACTTTCAGAACAACTCATAGAATACACATAGAACTGATTTCTAAATGTGACTAAATGTAATAAATAATAGCAATAATACTAACCAAGTGAAATATTCCAGGGCTTTTTCTACGTAGTCTACAGCTTTCCCATCGAGATAATCAACTAAAGCTGCTTTTGCCATCAGCAGATGGCACTCGCCCAAGCCTAAAATCAGACAAAAGGGGTAAGCTTCTTCAAAATATAAAAAATAAGCACTCAACATAAACATCAAACAAACATACTGCTGTTCTTTTAAAGTCACTTTCCAATAAACAAATGTTATGGTATTTCATAAAATGATCTTAAATACAGTTAGTGAGGAATTGCAGTGTCAGGGTTCTGTGGAATAAACATCCACCAAAAATGACCTGCAAACCCTAAGAATCTCCTTGCCTTCGAGGAGGTTACTTACTGCTTAATACTTCCACTTTGAAAATGGGATAGTCATAATCACACAATTGTTGGGAAAGATGATTTCATCTTTTCTATTAAAAATCAGTATAGTAAACTGAACTGTGAAATTGAAATGAACCCGTGCTTTCCTGAATTGTCTGGTCAGCGCTTTATAAATCTGCATACTCCTTCCGAGGCAAGGTTTTGCCAAACTAAAACAGCGTGAGAAGGAGCTAGCTTTCTAGTTATGCGCTGCTCACAACCAACCTCACTGTTTACTCACAAAGGAGAAGGAAATGGGGGAAACATGTAGGTGGGCTTCAGGCTTTCTTTTAAATATCAAGATATTTTAATAAAAAATTGAGATTATGTATAGATACTTGTGTTTTTCCTTTAATATTCAAAAATAACTTCAGAAGAAATGGGTATCTATGAAGGAACTGAGATTAATTGAGAATTACAAAAGAACACAAGTTGCCTCTAAAGTTTAAACAAGACTTTATTATATTTTTAAATGAGTTTTTATAACTTACACAATAATTAAAAGGCATTAAGGTATTCATGGACTATACTGAATTAATTATCAAAATATAAAAACAGAAAAACTTGGGGTCGGGAGATGGCTCAGTGGATTAAGCGCTTCCCTGGTGAGCGCGAGGGCCTGAGTTCAATCCCTGGTTCCACAAAAGAAAAAAAAAAACCAACTTGTTTTAGCGATCCTTTTTTAAGTCCAAAGAATTACTGTGACACTTGTCTACAAATGAATCCATCATGTTACTATTTCTAACAGATTATAGCTAACAGTTTAGGAAATAAAAGTTGATCTTTTTATACCTAAGTATGTACACCCTATATAGCAAGCAGATTGTATCAGATGCTTGCTGTTGAGTGTGGAAGTTGTTTTCAACTTGTTTAATACATGTATAATGAATTTAACTCAAGATTTTATATTTCAGTATCATAAAGTCACTGAAGCTACTAAAGAGAAATTACCTTTGAAAGCCGGCACGTAGTCTTCTTTCTTTTCGATGATCAGCTGGTACTGAGCTATGGCCTCCTTATACTTGCCCAGGATCTGCTGTATTGCGGCGACCTTAAACACACTGTATGTGGACCCTGGGTTCAGCTCGCCGGCTTTGGTGAAGGACTTCAAGGCTGTGGTGTAGCCACCTCTGCTTAAGTATGCCTCTCCTAATGCCTCCCAGCAATTGAAATCCTTTGGGTCTGCCCTGAGTGCTGCCTGCAAACTAAAATTTTAAGAAACAATAAGGAAACTAAAAATAATAGGACCATGTTCACACCTGAAAAGAAAATGTGAAATAATTCCAGCATATGTATCTACAACCTCTTACATTTATAAAAGTGCTACTGAAAGCAGGTATACTTGTTCCTTTAATGATCTAAATCATAATACTAAGATGTTCCATTAAAATTTCAGGGGGCAGGGAGATGGCTCAGTAGAATAAGAGCTTCCCTGGCAAGCACAAGGGCCTGAGTTCAATCCCCAGTTCCACTAAAAAAAAAAAAAAAAAAAAAAAAATTCAGAATAAGAACCAAAGACACTGCTGAGCAGAATTTCCTTTCCTTGGTTATTTGGAAGAACTCCAATTTTCTACTTTACCAGGAGAGATGGACACCTCAGTCTGCCTCTTTGGTCTCTAAACCCTACCACCAATCTTTCTACTAATTGGAAATATCACACTGAAATACAGGAAAAAGAGGCATGATTTAAATTTCTGATCAAATTCCATTTTTATGAAAACTTTCAAAATGCAGAGACACTAGCATAAGTCAGAAACAACATTTACCTCGATTCAATTCTATTCTATTTACCCTGATACACAGGGCACACAAAATGCCTAAAATTAATCAGATAAGATCTGCTATAAATGCCCTTCAAGAAGCCAAATGTCTCTCCTGCCAGAAGCAATGAATGCGCGTAGAAGAACAAGAGAAAATGTTAGTTCAGCTTTTCATCATTACTGACGTGTCTGGGGAGGACCAACCTACAGTATACGTGATGCTAGTGAAACCTGATTTCATAGGCTGGCTGCTCCTTCAGAACACAACTCACGCTTCTTCAGTCCTGCCTTACAATCAGTACTAATCAACCTCCAAAAGCTTGCTATTCCTTCCCTCAAAATGCAATCTGTTAAGAACAGACTTTACAGGTTATTTGGGATGTAAGTGAATTCTGGAGAACAGGGATTTAGCAAGCAGCAAAGTGCCTGCCTGGCAAGCATGAGGTTCCAAGTTCAATGCCTGGTACCAAAAAACAATAAATAAATAAAAAGTCTGCCTGAAATAAGTGAAATCTGCTCTAAGGAATCCTGATGGTGTCCAAATATAAATACAATCAGGCTCTTACTCAGCCACTGCTAGAGAATGCTGGCCAGCTTTCAAGTAGCACAGTCCCCGCCGAAGCCAGGCCCACTTGGCCGTTCCGGCGCTCGCCTTCTGAGTTACAGCACTTAAGAGCGCTAAGGCAGCTTCCTAGTAAGGAAATTAGGGTTAGAGATAGGGAATATCATAAAACAACCCATCATCAATATAAAGTAAACAAACATTTTCAATTCTCACTTCTGATTTTTTTAAATCTAGTTGGTACATGGAAAACCAGTTTCAATAATAAGTGACGAGTAATTTAATATCTGGCAATGAAAAAAAAATTGACCTACTTATGCATGATGGTAAAAACATCTCCATTACATCTATGAAGAAATGTAAGTCCTAATGATAACTTTCAAGGGGATAAAAAAACAAGACAAATGACTATCGGCGTACCGTATCTTCCAGCTCCACACTCAGGTCAACTGCTGCAGCTCCAGACTCGGTGTCAGTGTCATCCAACTCAAACGCTTTTCTGTAGCAGCCGCGGGCTCTGTTTCTATCTCCCGCTACGTCTCTGTAATAATGACCCAAATAGCAGAAAACTTTGCCCATGTACGTGTCCAGTCTTGCAGCCTTTAAAATAAATAGCAACAACAAGAAATAAAAGTTCTTTTGGATGAGTAGCTTTAAAAACACAAGAAAGAAAGATAGTGTACAGGTAAAAGGGACAAAATTCTATTAAATACACAAAAATGTCAGATTTCCTTTCATGTAAGACCTATAACAAATGAAAGCTGGCAGCTAACTGCTTCCAGAAAGTGTACTGAGGCGTCAACTATGACTTCTTTGGTAAAAGAGAGGTGAAATTAAGAGTTAGGGTTAAGACTGGGCAGGTGGGCCGTGCCTGCAATCCCAGTGCTGGGGAGGCTAAGCACAGGAGGTCACTATGACTCTGAGCTGCATAGTGAGACCCTCTACCAAATATATTAAAAAAAAAAAAAAAAGTTATGGTTAAATAAGTCTGGTCTTGTGAATCAAGACAAGAATGGAAGCCTTGAAAATGTTAAACTTCTAAAAAAGGCAAGAGGTAAAACATTTAGATTCATGCACCTATGAAACTATGGTAGAGAAAGCCTAGAAACAATCCTATTTTTCAGAGATAATTTTGTTCATTTTCTATTCTACATATTTCTGGAAAAGTAACCCTTACATTTTTATGGTTTTATTTTCTCCCTGAAAACCCAAACAACATTCTCACAAAATCTTGTGTGTGAGAAATGATACACATACACATACACACACACACGCAAAAAAAATTCAGTATAGTTTTAAATACAAGCTTCAGGGGTATATGCACCTGCCTGGCAAGCACAAGGTCCCAAGTTTGATCCCTGGTACCACAAAAAATAAATAAATAAATAAATAAATATCAAGTTTATATGATTCTTATTTATAATAATGAATACACTTCACCTGAATTGAATAGCAGCATTTGTTTTACCTTCAGAAAGTGGGTCAGAGCCTTCGCCTTATCTTTTCTTGTTTCTTCTCCCATGAGCCAGTACGTTAACCCAAGCTGGTAATGATATTCAGCAACGCCAGCATCTTTCTCAATTGCTCTCTGGAAACTAAGTCACCAAAGGGGAATAAAAAGGAATACTAAAATAAAATTTAAAATATTTACATATAAGTACATATAAAATACAGCACTTAGTTGGAGTTATCAAACTGAGTGATCCAAGGATACCAAAATTGAAATCATTACTTTAGGATTCAGACTGTAATGAGAAGAAAATGTTTTCTAACAAGCACTTTACAAAGCAGCGGCCTTTCAGCATGACCATGTGCCAACTCTTCAGGGCACAGGCCAAACAGTGCATCTACTATGATCAGCTAATTCAATTCTAGATCCTTCGGTGAATTTTTTATACTTAACTGTTGTACAAGTGAAACATCTTTCTTAAAACAATGACTTAAAAAGCCTTCAAAGGCCAAATTTATGTAAAGCTGGATCTTCATCAAAGCCAGTTCATCAAGCTCCTGCTGAATTTTCGAGACGCACAATAAATCAGATGTGACCCAATTTATGAGCAGCCTACATATCCTTACCACTTTTCTGCTTGTTCATAGTCCTTTTTGGTAAAGTGAATCAAACCCTCGAGGGCATGAGCTTCATGTAGGCTGGAGTGAGACAAGAGAAGGTCTTCCATAATCTACAAAGTAGAGACTTGTCAGTCCTACTTCCACATCCAGTTGCTTATTAACTATTAAAAAAATGCTTATTTTAAGTTAAAAAAAAAAAAAAAAAAAAAAAAAACTAACCTTTGTAGCTTCATCTAATGAGCCTTTGTTCAGATAGGCCAAGCCTTTGAGAACCAAAAGTCCTGGGACATTATTTGCATCTGAAACCTAGAAAATAATTGTAAGTGCTTTTATGGTGCAGCATGACGAGGTGTTCTGTGCTTGGTTTGCACATTTTCTTCCTCAAACTTGAGCTCTTTGGGCCTTTCAGAAACTTTTAATTTTTTTTTATAAGAAAATTATTGGAGATATCGCTATAAAGTATCACACAAAACATATTATTAGAGAAAGATAAGTAGAAAGTGAGACCTTAGTTCTTAAGAGTATTCTAACAACCACTATAATTTTAAAGAAATATTATTAAATGCAAAAGACAATATATTTCAAAGAGACCCTAATACAAAAAATATGAAATAATTACACAATTTATATGAAAGTATTTAGAAAAACTCAAAACCTTGGAAAACACTAAGCAATATAATATAAATCTTATTCAAAGCTGTCTTAATCTGACAAAACTCTTTCAAGTACAATGTTGTTATAATTAATAAATTATTTGTTGTTATTTTTTTCATTAATTTGCAAATGGACTGAACCAAAAAAAGTCAATTTCCTCAAAAATCAATCTTTCTTTGAGTGAACATAACAACATTCTCTACCATGAAGCTATTAGAGCCTCAATTAATGTTAATAATCTGTAAAACATTTATGGAGGAAAACTACTGGAATCCCAAATAACATTCAAGAAGTAAGAACCTACGATAATGAGAGAACAAGACTAAAACTAAAGAAAAAAATGGGCTCCTGTGGAGAGCACACAGGTACCTAACTAAGAGAGAAAACGAAGTTTCCGAGTATGAGAACGATTAATCTGGGAGCTGAGACTCTGAGTTCACTCCTCTAACTCAAGATTTATACAAATAAAAAGATGGAGAGAGATGGCTTTTACCTGCTGAGGTGAAAATGAATTAAAAGGAAAGCCTGACGCAAAGACTACCTGCTCAAGAGTACGCATCGCTTCCTCCGAAGACTCAGAATCTGAGAGTTTAATCAAAGCCTCTGCTTTCAAACAAAGACAAGGGTTCTTCTGCTGCACATGGCTACCAGGCACACCAGGGCTCTCTATGTTCTTCAGAGCTGACAAAAGTAAGGGCGTGTGAGTGAAGATAACCACCTCACGTATTTTATTTTTAAGGATAAAATAAAATAAACAGTAGACTACGTATAAATTTCTAAAACAATACACTTCAAAAATAATTCAAAAGTAATTGTAATTCTTCTCTGAACTTGTAATAGAAAGATCTAAATTTAAAGCACAACATGTCTGAATCTAAAATCACTTCACATTTACATAATGAAATTGAAGACCCTGAAACACAGCACTGATTACCTATATCTGCTACCTAATAAAGGTTAGCCCTTAGCTATCGTATCTGTGACACAGTAAATTCAGGCCACTGGAAGGGAAAAGCAGCTGAATTACAGTGGGCCTGGGTTAACATTTTTCAGTTACAGGAACAACAAGCTGGAGCCAGAGCGGAGAACCACCTGTTGTCATATTCAAACGGGCTCCAAGTGCCAAGACGTCCTTTAACTCTATCAGAGAAATGGAGAATTCATGAAAGTCCTGGGCATACCAGCAACTTTCTTATTAGAAAGGCAGAACACCACCATCCTGCTCTAAAATGGTGACAGCAATATTCAAATGTCGGAAGGCTTTAATAAACGTTCATTGCTATTTTAAAAATAAGCACACTGGAACACACGCATGCACGCTGATTTGGTATTTTTTTTAACTTCAGCAATTGAAAATGCAAAAGAAAAGCATGCAAATTTTTTTTTTAACATTAACTTTCTCCTTTAAGATGAAATAAACACTGTGGGCCATCTTTATGTATAAACCCCAAAAATGCAAAAAAAAAAAAAAAAAAAAGCAACAAATACCTTGATTGCACGAAAGAACAGCTTCCTTAGGGTTATGCATTTTGACTTGGGCTTTGGCCAAATGATACCATCCATGTGTGCAGAGGGGGCATTCCTTTAACCCTAAAAGGATAAAAACAATTCTAACAATCAAGGTTTCTTCGACTACTTGAATGAATGCAATCACTACCTCCTCTCCGAATCTGACACCTCCCCTCATGTCTCTCATCTAATCATCACCAAGCCACAGTGACCCTGGTCCCAAGCCAGCCCTCTGCACTCCTCCCGGTCTCTACCAGCACCCCTCAGTTCTGCTCTCTACCACTTTTATGCCAGCACACTGCAAGTACCTGCTCGCCAACGTGCCACAGTGTTTCTAAGAGGAGGAGGGGGCAGAGGGAGAAAAAAGAATGAAGATACGGTCATGCACCAACTCCACACACGGAGGGACATGCTCTAATGGGCCAGGCATGTGGCTCAGGGGTGCAGCACCTGCCTGGCAAGCATTAAGTCCTGAGTTCAATTCCTGGCACCAACAACAACACAAATGTACTAATAAAAAAAAAAAAAGAAAGAAAAAAATACAAACTGGGGGAAAAAAAAAAGGCAAATCAGATTATGAAATTCCATTCCTAAAGTGTTTCAGGGAAAGGGAACCGTGAGAACTCCTTTCCAGGGTTTGCAAAGTGTTCCCCACCTTCCCCTCCTGTGTCACTCTGCAGCCTTACTTCCTTCTCACACCTTGTAAACGACCCCTCTGAGCAGCAATTTTCCTCTTCCCTCCAGCTATTCCCCAGAACTCTCTCTTGCCCTAAAGTGTTGCTCCCGTCCCTTTCACCCATTTGCCTTTACTTGTCAGGCAGGCCCCAGTTTGAATCTAGATTCATCCAGAAACATCATACCTAGGTTAAGCCTTCCTAAAGCTTCCTAAAATTATCCCTGTTTTTCAAATGAAAACACTTAGACATAGAACGCTTGGTTAACTTTTCTAAAGTCTTGAAATCAGTGAGTGGAAGAGCTGGAGTTCCAATGTAAGCAAACTCCAGGGCACACAGGTACTTTCTTCCCAACCAAGAGAAAGACTCCGAGATTAGTGCCTACTGAGCCACAGTGACACCTCGTGTCACGTGACAGAGACTGTACATTTACCTTCTGTTAGATTCCTGACGGCGTCTTCATACTTTTTGTCTTGTAATGCTTTAATGCCTATACCGATGAGGCCTGGACCACTTTTTGAGTTCATTTCTACTAGTTTACAAAAATACTGCTGTCCCTCTTCTGTAACATTTCCTGAAATTAAGAGGAAAAACTATTAATATTAGCATAAGTATAGTAGGTTTGTCAATGTCAAAACCTACATCCTGAAGTCCAAAAGATGCTTTGTATTTCTTTCACTGTGTCTTGATTCTAGGAATTCAAAACTTATATAAACCAAATGAAAATTAAACCAAACAATTTTTTTTTAAAAAAATCAACATTTCATAAAGAAACCTAGCCTTTTTTTTTTTTTTTTTTTTTTTTGTTTTTTTTTGAATCTTTCTCTAGTCTTTTTTTTTTTTAAGATCTGGCAAGCTTTTAATCTTCTTAAGAGTCAGAAGTAGAAACTGCTTTATCCGTGGACTGTGAACCGTGGACTGTGAACGTGGTGTGGCAGCCCAGAGGCCTACTGCGCCGGCCCGTGGGCTGAGGCACACTGAGGGCACACAGCCCTGGCTTGCCGGGCCTCGTCCATGGCAGCAGTCACACTGTCCACTGTCAGATGAAGGGAAAACTGAGAGAGGAAGAGATCTTCATCAGCCTCTGTGAGCAACACCAGACCACGTGGCCAGATGGAGAGCGCTTCCATCTGTCTAGGATCCAGAGACGGCAGGCTGCTCACCAAAGACAGTCACGTACTCTTAAATGTGTAAGTTCAGCATTTCTATATTTTTCTAATAAACTATCTTTTTCTATATAAGAATTACTTTGTGTCATAGTGTTCTTATGTCTGTTTGCATTTATTTTCTACTTTATTTCGATAAGATAGTTTAGAAACATTGTATCTTTATCTCCATTTTCTAAAGCTTCAGTTAATTTTAGGATTCCTATTTGCAGAAAAGCACACATACACACAAATGAAAAATGGAATTTCTGTTTTTAGAATTAAAAGTGCACAGCATTTATCATTTTAACAAACTGTTTCATCACACAGAAAAGTCTTAAAAAGTAATTAAGAGTATATCAAAATAATAAGGGTGTAGAAAATAAATAAAAATACATTGGCCACCAGGTGTGGTGGTATATGCCTGTAATCCCAGCACTCAGAAGGCTCCCTGATGGCTTCATATCTGTGTGAAACACGCCCCGAAGCATATGAAACCACTCTTTCAGTCACAGGAATCAAAGGCAAAGTCTTCGCATATCAGTTAGTTTATGTATTTCAAATTTTTCAAAGCCAGATGCATATAAATGTAAAGTTCAGAAGTGATATGTTATATATACTGATTCAGAACTCCAAGTTAGCCCCCAAAGTAAGAGAATTCACACTGGCTAGAGCATTAATACTGTTTGATAAAATCTGAGGGAAAAAAATATTACTGCAAATAGTTGTTGTTGGGGGGGGTTGTTTGTTTTTTGTTTTTGTTTTGTTTTTTGTATTTTAGGGAAGGGTCTATAGGGTGTTCAGGATCTCACTACTACATCAGACTCATAGCGATCCGCCTGTTTACAGCCTCCCAAGAGCTGGGATTACAGGCGCGCGCCACCACACTCAGTCTCAATTGCTGTCTCAGTGCACCCTGGGGATAGGACAGGCATGGCAGGCCCGGGGATTGAGTCCCTGTCCCTGCGCCTGCTTGCAGGCACTTTAATCCGCTGAGCTATTTGGCCGGCCCTATTACTTCAGATAGTAAGCCAGTAAAATGCGACATAGGGCCAGTTAACAGTATGCTTCCAATACAAGTTTCCTTCTTTCAAAATGTTTTCACTTTTGCTTCCAGAAATATGAATTCCAAGAACAGATGTACCTAGCTCTACATGCTATACCTCCTCCAGTGACATTTTCCATTCCTACCAAACAGTAGTGCCCAAAGTAGACACTGTATACAAAAGACACCAGAATCACCTGAAGGATTTTAAGATGAACCCCATGCTCAGTGTTTCTGATGGAGGAGGTCTGATGTAAGGCGACAGCTTGTCCTTCTAACAAGTTCTCAAGTAAGGTTTATGCCACTGGCTCAGAGATTATACTCTAAGAACCACTGAGGACTGTGGTATTTGCTAATAGATTATCTTCAGTGTTAGTCTTACAACAGATTATATACATTAGATAGATCTAGACATAGATATATAGATATATAGATTACCCTGCCTTTGTTACCTCTGTAATTAAATGCTAACTTCCAGAAAGTAACCAAGTATGGTAGCAAGGTACATGGTAGACATGTATTAAACATGAAAATCTTGTTTTAGAAAGATCATCAAGAACTAATACTCAAAAAGAGATAGTCCACTATTAGGAATAGCTGAGGATTACTATAGAAAATTTAAAATTTTCACTATCCTAAAAATAAGAAAAATGGCTATAAAAATTTTACCACTGATTACTACCATCTGGGTTATAACTTTCTTCCTCCATGGAAACACAGCTAATGGCAAACAAACTACCTGAACAACATAAGCTGCTTTATTACAGACAACACCCCATGAAAGGCAGGCAGAAAACCAGCAAACATCTCTCCGACGATCACACGCAGTAAGGGTGCTCCAAACTGCACATGGGGGAAAAAAGTGTCCCTTGGTAGTTTCCAAAAGGCTACGAAGCACTTTTAAAACAAAGTAAACATTACTACATTCCTTTAGCTAAAACGTGGAAGCACAATTCTAGAAACCAAGTAAAGACTTGTGGAGGCTGCGTCACATTTACCTCTAGGTAACATGCTCTCTACATCTGCCCAAGTGGCACTTAGAGGAATCATTTAGTGTTCCCCAAAACAGCAACAGTGGAGCCGGGGAGATGGCTCAGTGGAATAAGTGCTTCCCTAGCAAGCGCAAGGGTCTGAGTTCAATCCCTGGTTCTGCAAAAAAAAAAAAAAAAAAAAAAGACACGATATATCCCACCTTCAATACTCAATCTCTTCTCCACACTAAGCACTGCTGAGAATATTAGTTTAATAAACATCTGTGGAGAATAGAAACTGAGATGAAATGGGCATCTTTGCTTTCGAATGGAAGTCACTTACGCTCTTTTAACACTTAGAGAGCTCTAGTCCAGACTAACTGAGCTCGGTTTGTTTATAACAGCGCTGCAGATGGAACTCAGGGCCTTGCGCGAGCTAGGCAAGCACTCTGCCTCTGGCCACATCCCTGGCCCTCCACACTTAGTGACTTTAAAACAGCTTGACAGCATTATTTTTATTTCTTTTTTTATTTTAATTTCTTAAAAAGATCAAAGAGAAGCCAAACTTGGGGCTGGTAAATATTAAATCTCCAACAGTAAATAAAGTGTTCTGAAAGCTGGAAGCTCAGAAATTCCTATGGAATTCGCTTTCCAAAAGCTTGCTACTGAGTTTTTCAAAGCATTTTGACATACCAAAGAAATGGATCAATGCTACAGAATTTTTATTTTAAATAAACCTAGTTTAGGAGGGAAAATGTACAATTTCATGCTATTCATTTTTTTTATTTTAAGCTGAACTTTCTAAGATTTCTAGGCCACAAAAAAATCTTAAAAATAAATAAATAAATAAATAAATAAATAAATAAAGCTTGAATTTGAAGAAGCATTGCATGCACCCCCGTTTTAGAAACAAAGAAAAATAAATCACAAAGGTCATTTAGCACACAAAAACATTTCAACAGATGACAGCTGTGAAAGCTGTTCACCGCCTGTTATCTGAAGCTGTACAAACTGAGTCATTTTGAAGATGAACTATCAAGTCTCAATACACAAAGCAAAAGAGAACAAACATATTTGTCCTTGGTGGAAGAGAACCCAATGATTAACTGCTATGAATAACAAGGTCTGCTGACTTTAGAGACCTTAGAGATTTTCAGAAGTTCTTCACTTTCAGAAGAATACACAAAGTGTGGAGTAAAGAAGCAAAGAAAAAGAAATCAGGGCTGGCCAGACAGTCCCCACTCCCAGGGTACACTTAGAGCCATTGAGACTGGGCGTGGTGGCGTGCGCCTGTAATCCCAGAGCCTGGGAGGCTGAAAACAGGAGGAGCACTATGAGTCTGATCTACGTAGTGAGACCCTGTACTAAATACAAAGAAAGAAAGAAAGAAAGAAAGAAAGAAAGAAAGAAAGAAAGAAAGAAAGAAAGAAAGAAAGAGAAAGAAAAGAAAAGAAATCAACGTAGAGCTTCCCATCATCCTGCACTGTTAAACTCTTACCTCAGAATGGCACTGTACTCTGGAGGGCCCTTACTCCTGAACCTCTCAAGTCCAGGAATCCTCACCACCACTCAGCAGGGAAAGGTCTTCTCCAGAGCCCACTACACATGTAAACATCCGCTCATCCACTCCACTTTGCCATGATATGCACCTCCCTCCCTCTCACTTCTGCAAAGCACCCAAGCCCCAAACCCTCAAGAGATTTCTGCACCACACACCCTCACTACTCAATCAGCACAATCCCTTCACTATTGCTTTAGTGGGACACTTTTTCAATGACTTATGTACAAATCTCTGTAGACTATCTGTTGATTCCTTTTACTCTATTATTTTTAATTGCCAGGGAGATGGCTCTGTGGTATAAGCACCTACCTGGCAAGCACTGTGTCCTAAGTTCAATGTCTGTCCCCCACCAACAAAAAAACCTCTATTATTTTGTAGGCTTTTTGGAGTGTCAGGGTCATGTTTACTTAACAAGCCCACATGACAGGCACATTTATGCCCATAGAGAAAGCAGCCAAATCAATCTTCAGAAAGAAATCTTCACTTGTACCAGCGGCATGTAAGCAAGAATGAGGGAACCATGCACACGCTGACGACAGCCGCGTGACACTGGAGCGCAGTGGGTGATCGCCAGCAGCCATTTCTGCACAGCAACTACGAGGACAGAGAAAGGAGCGAGGAAACGGGCACCAGAAGCCAGGCAATAAAGAAAATCTGTTTGCTGATCTTTAGAACACTCTGGGTCTTATGCAAAAAGTGAAGAGACTAGGTCGTTTGGGAATTAAGCTTAATCAGAAGAAGACAAGCAAAAGCCCCTGGCGTGCGCCCGAGCGGAGAGCCTCCTGCGGTGAGGCCAGGCTGCTCCTGCTGCACCTCACCACTCCCCACCTGAGCACGCCAACGAGACGCAGCGCTCTTCCCTGTTGCTCCTTTCACAGTGCCCCTGGCAGGTGACCCACGACAACCCTCACACCCGCGAGAAGCTACCGTCCCCTCACAGGCTTCACATCCTCCTCACTCTTCAGTGAAGTTCCTAATTTCCTCTGCTTCTCACACGTGCTATGTTGTCTTCTTATCCACCATCCTAACCTAAGTTCCAATTCAGTTAGTTTGATTTTAAAAGATAACTTTAATCAGTAAGCCTCTTAGTCAGAAAGTCAGCGGCTCAGCTATTGTGACAGACAGTAAACTCCTTCCTGGGATGCTCTTCTCTTGCCTCCAGTGTTCCTGCCCTTCTTGGTCCTTCTCTCCCCCCTGCCCTCTCCTCTCTGTCCTCCTTCTCTCTTCCCTCTTTCCCTTTGAGCCAACCTGCCCTGCCGAAGCACAGCTCTCAGCCCTTCGCCCTACACTCAGATGTGCCCCACTCCACGTCGCCTTTACTGACATGCAAACAGCTCGTAAGCTGCACAATGAGCTTCACCTCTGATCCCTGGACGATGCGGGGCTTCAATGCCCATAACAGCTCCTCTCACCTGCTCCCTTGCCCTTCACACAAACCATCATTCCATGCTGGGTAAGCTTTTCAGATCAGGAAGTTAGAATTGATTGTTTCCTTCTTTTATCTCCAGTCACCCTGGTTTTGCTCACTCACTGTCCCTGTCTATCGTGACCATCATGCTCCTAGAGCGCACATTCCTAGTATCAGGAGAAAGGTCTGCTTACCATCTGCCTGCACACCCTGTTGGCTGAAGTTCTTACGCTTCATAAATTAACTCATTTTCAATATTTTCTAATGGTAGCAAAAAAATGTTCTGAAAAGTTCAGCTTTGACTCAGAGAAAGAAAAAGAAGACCTACTTACTTCTTACTGAGAGCGCCAGGACTGAAAGTAACAGTGTGTCTTGTGCACCTCAACACTACTGCTTGGCACATTTCTTTTTATCTCCAGAAACACTGAGCCAGGTCCTTACCCAGGATGAGCACCAAGCCACCTGCTGATGGACAGCAAATGACTCTCCCACACTCACACACCCCCAGAACACACAATGCGGAAAGGCAGAACTCACCTGACTCGATTAAATGCATGCAAAACACTTCTAAGGGATACTGTGTGGTGGGGTAGACACTTCTCATTCCTTCACAGGCCTCCTTCAGCCTAGCAGTCTCAAGAGGACACTTGAAAACACAAAAGCAAAATCCACTACATTCCAACAGTAGTAAAATGCATTTGTAAACATTTTCCAAATTAGAAATACATAAAAGTCACTGTAGAGATTTTAAAAATCTACTTACTTTGGATAAACACTGAATGAAATGCCTATAAAGTTGTTGGTGATCCTCACTAGGAATGTGCTCTGATAAGCTCAGCGCGTTCTCAAATGCAGTCAAAAGCTGAAATAAACAATGAAGCTATTCACTGCCCTGTTTAAGTGACAGAGTGACACAGCTGAATGTACAGGGCCCTCTTACACAAGCTGGGGAGTATCTTACTGTCTGCCTTGACAATTTCAATGATGTTTTACAACTGGTAGGTTGGTACTGTAACTCCAACTACCAGTCAACTGCACTGAACTAGTAAGTGATCACTATAAATTACCAACACTAAACTTGACCCATGATTTTGCCTTTTGAGTTTTTGCAGGAGCTTTGCCACAGCAACAGAATGCAGACTAACACGTTACAAAAACACAGAAAAATCTTGTCCTTACACTTCTGTGCTTGGTTCTTAGCACACTGCCTGACATAAACTACAGTCCCACTAAAACACTTACTGAATAAAAGAGCAAACTAATGAGCGACCAAACATTAAAAAATGAACTTCCCTTCCCAGCCTATAATTACTAAACTTTAAAATCTCCGGTTTAGCACATACATATTGACTAGCTACTCATATAATATGAAATTAATTGACTTTTAAACTTATAAATAAGGACCAGGGATGTAGCTCAGTGGTACAGCGTGTGGCAAGCATGAGGCCCTGAGTTAATCCCCAGTTCCAAAAACAAACAAAAAAGAATAAACTTATAAATAAAATGATAAAGATATTTTCCAATTATAATTCAAAACCAATGTTTTCAAAGTCTACTAAAACTTCTTTTCAATTAACTTGAAAATCTACACACTAAAAAGACATATCATATGAGTATAAATACCCTACTAAATATAATCAAGTTGAATTGTGAAGCCACAAATACAGTACTCATAGTTTATAACTATGAAGAAGCATTCCTCTGAAATACAACTTTTTAGAAATATAACTTTTTACAAATATAAGAGAATGAAATTGTAACCCCCTGAGTACCAATTTTACTCCCTCCAGACTTGGTACGGGACTGCAGGCCAAAAATTCTAGCTTGGTCAGAAATAACTAATGCTGTAAAGTACTTTCCTACATTATGCTTCTACTTTCTGAATTCAATAAAATGATGATTTTTCATGACAGGAACTGTGAGGAAGAAACAAGTCAATACCAATTGCTGGGTTTCATTGTTCTGATCCTCCACACTCTCCGCCAGCAGCTGAGTCAGCTTCTTCCACAGCTGGTGAAGCTCTTGGCTGTTGGCACCTTCCTCCTGCCTCGTCCTGATCAACTTGTGCCACGTTTGAGCCACCTATTGAAAAGAAGACTTAAAATGGTTATTTGATACTAAATGCTAGAATAAAAGCTAAAAAGTAAATTCCAATAAAAACGTAAAATTTCTAAAATAAGAATATTGTCACCTACTAATATGCAAAGTAGCCGAAACACAAAATCCCTAGTATTAAGAACTCCATAAAGTCAACTGAGCAAATTCAGAGCCCTTCTATCAGAAACATACAGGGCCGGTCAAATAGCTCAGCAGATTAAAGTGCTTGCAAGCAAGTGCAGGGGCCAGGGGTTCAATCCCCGGGCCTGTCATGTGGGCCCTGCCCCTCCCCTGGGGCACACTGAGACTGCGATTGAGACTGGGCATGGTGGCGCATGCCTATAACCCCCAGCTCTTGGGAGGCTGTAAACAGGTGGATCACTACGAGTCTGAT